CAATGTAGTAAACAACATCCTCTCTTTAAATATCTTAAAATTAACTGAGGCAATATCCTTACATCCACTACAAATGTAAATGTTAGCCAAGAAACATAAAGTTTCTTAAGCCAAATTTCTAAATTACCCTTAATCCTCTACGTATTCTCAAATTAAGTAGCCCTTGAAAAAAGTAGAGACGTACTAGTGTCAAGTAGAGATATGGTAGTTAATTGCTGAAAATATACATGCATTAGATACTTTTAATGACCTCCCATACACTTCTACATTTTCTCCCTCCCACATGTCCTCTCTCCATAGATAAAGCTGTCTTTCTACAATAATGTCACCCTCCATTTCCTCCAGGAAAAATTTCAAATTCTTTTACAAGTCTCACCATGCCCTCAACTATTTAGTCCCACCTTTATTTTCTTTACAGAGCACCTGTCACTTGCTACCATTCTCTCTGTCCCCAGGCTTTAGTACCAAAATTTGGTGATACTTAAATTTCTAAGCACAATTGGATCGTACTCACCTGTGAACACTTAGAAAAAAATTGCTCAATAATTATTTCCTTTTCAAAATGTAGACCAAAGTGAGGGCAAAAATCCTGTTACCGATATGCTAGAGAAAAAGGGGTCTTCTATATTAATATAATATTTATAAATCTCTTTCTGTGTCAATTTGGAAAGCAATGTTATCCCAGATTAGTTTGATTCAGTGGAAGCATTATTTCAATATTTTCTTTACTCCAACCTTAAGCATTATGGAGAATGAAAGCATTAAACATAAAAATATGGTAGGATATTGGGATCCCTTTAAGTAAATCCAAGTTTACTTGCAGCTTCTGGGAATGAAAAAAACTCAAGTTTCATCACCAAAGACCAATCTGATTCTGAAGTTATTAATGTGAACTAGGTAGCTTTTTGAAAGTAATATTATACTAAAGGTAAACGATTAATGTTGATGATGCTATTACCCAGTGCTTACGCTGAAGTACCTTCAAAGCTTCGCATGCTTCATTTCACCATTGCCACTATTAGTCTAGTTATCAAGACAAAAAAATACATTCCATTTTCTAGGTGTTTGAAAACAATTAAATATATGTTGTCACCTCTCAGTGGGAATGAAAAGGTCCAAATTGTCATGAGAGTCTTGTGGAAATGGCATTTTTTTTCCTTTAAAAACTGAACTGTGTCATACTCTGTCACATTACATCATATTAAACCACGGAACATGGTTATGTTGTGCTGCCCCTATCATTGAAGGGATATAAAATTAAACTTATGGGTTGTCTTTTTCAGGGAAAACTCCCTTTCAAAACTTTCATTAAACAAGTGCCAGTTGCAGTAGATGCCCCATAGATATCAAATTTTGAAAATAGGGCAAAATTTTATGAAATTATTCAGCTTTTCCAAAATAAATCTATTTGATTTCTCCTACCAAACTACAAGAGTTTCTGTCAATCATCAACTCAAAAAAGCTGGTTTCTCTCCCTGCCCCCGCCCTGTCTCTCTCTCTCCCCTTCGCCAATATTCCTTTAACCACCTCTGCCCATCACAGTCTGCAGAAGCAACACTGAATTTTGGAAAGAAGCTATCGTTGGTATGTGTTTGCCAATGGCACAGGAAACTTGGGCTGGAAAAATGTATTAACATGGACTGCAGCTTCACTTAGTGATGAGCAAATATTATTAATGTAAATGGTTAAGAAGCATGACTATTGAATGATACTGTGAAAAAAAGGTTGTCTCTTCTAAGAAAAATTAGACAGAGTTTTCCAAGAAACTTTGGCATTAGTTACAAATGAAACTTTGAACGTTTCTAAGTAAACACTGCAGGCAATTATGTTTACCAACACTGTTGAGGCATGAAATTAGAAGATATCTTTAAATTTGGGGAGGAAATCTGGCTTCTTTTAACTTATTTGGCTCTGCTTCTCTCCTTCCAAAATTAGTGCACTGATAATACTAGAAGGAAGTAGAGATTCATTATACCCACCGATGACTTTTAATAATGCCAGCTGGCATTGGAAAGGAATAATATTTTAAAAAATGAATGCTCAGTTACTTTGGGTAGTAGAACTACCCTTGAGGGAAACATCGTGTGAAATTACAATCTTTTTCCATTAGGTTTTACTTTTAGATAAACCTATGGATGTAAAAATTTGAGACAGGCTTCTGTTCCCACTGCTATTGCATAAACGTCTAGATAAAAACTGGTGCTGGCAAAGTTAGTAATAACTAAATAAGTCAGATTTACAGACACCACAATGTCTGCAACCTCAGAGAAATATCAGATCAAGCAAATTCAAGGAACCACCACTAGATTAAAAAAAAAAAAAAAGAATTCAACAGATAAGGCCATGGATTGGTATCTCATTGATGTGGGTTGGACTCTCAACTCTGACACTTATTGAGTGTGTAATCTTAAGCATTATCTTCCAAATCCCTGTTTCTTCATCCATAAAATGGCAATAAGAGGAGTACTTGTATTATTAAGGTTATTCTGTGGAAGAAGTGAGATAATACCTGTAACATACTTAACTTCTGGCTCATTATAAATTCTCAGTCAATGTTAACCATAATTTTTTGTCTGCTTTTATGATAGTTGTTGTTTATTGTATAGGATCAGTTATTTCATTAAAGTTTTCATAATTTATTTAGTTAAAAATAAAGTCAGATGTGAACTACATAGATTTTCAGCTTTAAGGATGCCCAAAATGCGACATGTTCAACCTAATTGATAAGAAATATATTAATGAAATAAAATACTCCATTTTCATCTTTAAAAACTATTTTGCTATTTGCCATTTGCAACAACATGGATAAACTTGGAATATGTTACACTAGGTGAAATGAGCCAAACCCAGAAAGACAGATATTATATGATATCACTTATCTGTAGAATCTAGAAAAGTCAAACTCTTGGAAGGAGGAGTAGAATGGTGGTTGCTAGGAGCTAGAGCACAGGGAAAATGGGGAGATGTTGGTCAAAGGGTATGAACTTTCAGTTAGAAGATGAACAAGTTGTGGGAATCTAATGCACAGCATGAGTGATGTATTTGACTGTGGTAATTATTTCACAATGGACATATATACTGAGTCATCACATTGTATATCTTAAATATGTTTGATTTTTATTTGACAATTAAACTATTTTTCTTAAAATGGCTTCTATCGATTGGATTTGCCAAAGTCTTACCCTGAATCGTAGATACCAATCATAGACGTAATATACGTTGGGATATATGCCTACATGCCTACAACACAAGTCACCTAACTTTTGATACTATTTCCTCAGACCAGTTGAGGATTTGGAGAATTTCATCCTTTATATCTCTTAGCAATGGAAAATGCTATGACAAGTTTTTTCTTGTGTTCTTGAAAAACTAAGGTCCATATAGAAATTCAGGTTCAAGTGTCATATGGGAACTAACATGATGTGTTAGAATGTAGGCTCAGGAACCAGATTTAAGGTTGGTCTTTACTCAGTCACTTACTAGCTGCAGACTTTGGTGAGTTACTTATGCTCTCAACTTTAGTTTTGTCATTTATAAAATGAGTTATTGATAGTATATATTTATGAAGATAAGTTTTAAACGAGCTAATGCATCACAAAATCTGGCATTTTATAAGTGATCAATACATTTTTATTATTATTTTCATATTCTTAATAATTTCATTGATCTTTTGGTTGGGCTGTTGTAATCATTTTCCTATTGCTTAAGGTATGATGCTTATGGGGTCACCAGTTTAAGCTTTCCATCAGTGGTATAAGTTTCACTCTGTATGATTTATAATTTAGGTCACACATAGACCTGGTTACACAGACAATAAGTTGGGGGAAATGAAGGTTCTGCATCAAAGGAATAATTGGAAAACAACTTGAGCAGCATGATTTGATGAGAGAAACTAGAAACATCATTTTTATGAATGGATAAAATAATTGACTACCTGTTAGCATTACTAGTTTTATATGGGAGTTTCAATTTGTATAATGAGCAAATTGAAAAAATACCTTATTTATAGATAATTAATTCTTAATTTTATTTTTTGATATTATGCTATAAAAGTTTTAGGGCTACTAATGAATATAATTTACATTCTTTTTTTAGAAAAAATACACTCATATTTTCTTTTCCAAACAAGTTACATTCCTAATGAATTCCCTGACATATCTAATTATTCTGATATTGAATTGCCAGCTTTTTGAGAAATGAGTGTTTAACTTTAGGAAAATTCAAACTGCCTTGTTTTTGGATGAATAAAACATGTTCAGGAAAATTTTTAAAAACAATATTTAGGACATTATGTTCTAATAAGGCAGAAATTACATTGTGGTGTGATATTATAGCATGAAGCCACAAAAGCAAAACTGATTGTGGTGGATAAAAGGCCCTTGGGCTCTAAGGGCTGAGGGCAATGGCATTTGTGAATTGAGACACTGGTTTAGGATTTAAATAAGTGCACCATAGTTAATGTCTATTTCCTACCATTCAACTGCAGCTAGTAAATAGCAGCAATAAGGACCACATGAAGTATAAGGTAATGAAAAGAAAAACAGAATGTGCTATTCCCCAACCCCTAATCATTAATCTAGCTCTCAAATATCTATATCTATTCAACTATTTATTCTGACAGTACATAATGGGACAGACTCAATGCAAAGATTTTCTTTTAAGTATGACTCTTTTTTTTTTTTTCCTTTTTACAATGTTAGTCATACATAGTCATTCTTTGTGGACATTAAAATTCTGAAGATGTGTTATCCTTCCAGGAAAATGTGGGAAGCAACATTTAAATTGTAGCCAAAATTTTATTTTATAAAAAATGTTCTACCGATACTGCATTTTCAGGACTTGGACTAACCAGTGATGCTCTTCAGTAACACAAAATTGATCCTTTACTCAAAGGGAAGTTGTAAATTTATTATAAGACACCATATACTTATTCTCAGATAGCTTTGGCCACTCCTATCATTTCTCATGCTTTGTGGCTAATGGAAATATTGTCTACTTACTGGATGGAACTTTCAATGCGTGTGATAGTGAGGAAAGCAGCAAGATTTGCCGTGTAAGATGAGATAACAATCAAAGCAAATAGCCACCAAGCCCCCATCATCATTCGGGTAGCCAGAGTCGTATACGGGACCTCCCCACCTGCAGAAAGAAGCAAAGAGATGAAAAGAACATCAACTATGTATTTATGGAGAGTCTGAAGTCATCTATATTCAATACCAAATTAACTTTCAAGTAGTGAGAAATTATTCTGCTTAACATCAACATAGATCTCTATATTTTCATCACTCCATATTTAATTCTCTTTTATGAGATTATGAGAGACCCAGCCAAAAGAAGCATGATAAATATTTAGTATAACATGTTTAAATGATAGTTCTTCCTCCTTTTTGTTCAATCCTGTAATTAATTGCCCTTTTATTACAATCACAGGTATATGCTTTCTTTCAAAGGCTTGATTATTCATTAGGTGATATTAATACTGCTATGCCTATATATAATGCAAATTTTCAGATTTCCATTAATAGCATTAAATGGTTAGGTGGTAACAAAAGTGGGGTCCAGGGCTTGCCGAATGAGGGTGGGCCTGACACAACAAGAAAATCCCCAAATGATGAGAAATTAAGTCATGGGTCAAGGAAAATCACCAGAGAAATAAAAAGTACTTTGAACAGGATGATAATAAGTATGTTCCATATCAAAATTTCACAAGTTTTGATAGTTTATGGATGCAGCTAAATTGTACTGAGGGAAATTCATAGCCTGTAATATATAGGAAAAGAAGCCTGAGCTACTCAGAAATTTTAAGACATTAAAAATAATCAGCAAATTAAATTTGAACAAGTACAGGTAATAAAATGAGTAAGAGCAAAAACTAACAAAATAGACAAGAAATATAATTAAGAAGGCTGATCTGACAGAAGTTTAAAATATTACAGAAATTTAAAAAGTACATTGCTACAGATGTTAACAGAAGGATAACTTGCATACAAGTTTATGCCAATATGTTTGAAAATTAAGACGATATGGGCAAATTTCTGGAAAAGTTTCTCCCCAAAGAAATAGAAAATTTGAATGGTTTTGTAACTATCAAAAGACTTCAACCCAGAATTAAAACTTACCCACCACAATATGCAAGGCTGGTGGCCTTACTAACAAAATCTACCAAATATATGAGGGAGTAATTAACTTTACTTGTACACAAATCCTTCCTAAAGTTAGAGAAAAACAAGACACTATTCAATCCATTTTATAAAGAAAGCACAATTTTGATAACAAAACCTGACAAAATTATTCCAAGGAAAGGAAATTACAGGCTAATCTCACAGGATTGTAGATGCAAAAGATAAATAAATTAGCAAATAGAGAATTGCATAAAAAAACAAACAGATTGGGTTTATTATATGAAGGCAAAATTGGCTTGGCATTCAAAAATCAATCATTGTAATTCACTACATTAGCACTAAAAGAGAAGAATTATGTGATAATCTTGGCAGATGAAGAAAAGGTACAGATAAAGTTCAACATCCAGTCTTAGAAAAACAAAAACAAAACAAACCTAAAAATAATGCAGCAAACTAGAAACTTTAAAAATGGTTTCTTATTTTTATAAAGAGTACTTTTATCATGTATCATACATACTAATAAAATAAAAATTTTTGACTGCCTTAAAGAATACAAATTGGCAACATTTCTATTGAATTGGGGTTGTGCTAGACTTCCTAGTCCAATAAATTGTAGTTAAGAATTGGAAAGAATGAAACAAGTCATGGATTAGACATGATATAAATATGTATGTAGAAAATCCAAGAGAACAAATGGTAAATTACAAAAATTAACAAATTAGTTACCAGCTTACTATGTTACAGAATCGATGTTTAAAAATTGATTATATTTGTATATAACAGCGACACTTACAACACAAAATTAAAAAACAGATGTCATTTCCAATAGCATTAGATGATCAAATAACTAGGAATAAACTCATTTAAAGATATGAGAGATCTCTAGATGAAAAACTACAAAACTATTTTTGAGTAAAATAAAAGAAAATTCAATAAATGAAGATATAGCATGTTCACTGATTAAGATATTTAATACTGTAAAGATATCAATTCTCCTCAAATTGATCTATAGATGCAGTCAGTGAATTTCCAATTAAAAATCCCAGGTTGTGTGAATGTGTGTGTGCACAAGTACATGTGCATGAAGCTGAATGTAAAGTGTATATCAAGTTGCAAAAGGACAAAAATTGCCAAGATAACTCTTGAGGAAGAAGAAAAAAACTGAATCTTGATGACTATAGATTAATATAATAATTAAGACAGTTGGTTACTTGTACAAGGATAAACCAAATAAATCAATGAAGGTTATCCATGCATACCCGGGTACTTGATTTATACCCAGCTGGCACTAAAGTATGTACTATAATGAAAGGGAGGTCTTTTCATTAAGTAGTTCTAGGTCAATTAGACATATGTATGAAAAATAATGAAACCTGTCTCCTAACTCATACTACACACAAAAATCAATACCAAGCAGCCTATAGATATAAATATAAAAGGTGAACAATAAAGCTAGAAAATTATATAGGAGAATATATCCACAAGTTTGGGCAGAAAGGATTTCTTAAACACAGCACAAAACATGTTAGCACAAAAGAAAAGATTGACAATTTGACTGCAATAATACTTCGTAGCTAAAAAGATGCCATGAAGAGGGTGAAAAGACAAGCCACAGTAGAAGAGAGTCCTAATACATATACCTAACAAAAAATAATCAACTAATATTAACTACTATAAATCGCTATAAATCGATAAGAATAAAGGAAATGACAATCAGAAAAATGGATAAGAGGTTTCATAAAAGAAGATAACCACTGACCAATAAATATATGAAAAGGTAGCAATCTCATTAACTCTTAGGGAAATACAAAATAAAATATACCACACCACAGCCACCAGAATGATTAAAATAAAAAGATATACATTAGCAAGTACTGGCAAGGACATGGAAATATCAACATGCTTGTACCCTGTTGTTGGGATTGTAAATTGGTTCAGTCAATCATTTTGATAAACAATCTTTGAAAACTAATGTATGAATATCTTAGAATCCAGCAATTTTACCCCTTAGGTACATACCCACTAGATGAATTACATACCAAGAGACAGAAATGTTTGTAACGGCATTGTCCTAATAGTCTAAACTGGAAACATCCCAAACATACTTTGAAAGTAGACTGGACACCTCCTTACATATTTTAAGTTTGGCCTTAAGATTTCTTCATGCATAGCGAAGTGTGACCTAACTGGATGTATAAACAGGCTGTAATCTCCTCTTGTACCAAACACAGAGTTTCAGCCAACTATAGGTGACCAACTGTTCAAACTGTGTTCAAATAAGGCAGATGTTGAGCTGTAACCAATCCAGCTGTTTCTGTACTTCACTTCCATTTTCTGTATGTGACTTTCTTCTTTCTGTTCATAAATATTATCTAGTCTTGTCACAGGCCCCAGTTACTCTGAACCTATCTGATTCGAGGGGGCTCCTCTATTCCTTAATGGTTCTTTGCTCAATTCAACTCTGTTAAATGTCATTCATCTGTTATTCTTTGAACACAAACAATAAAATATTGCACAACTACAAAAGCAAGCAAATCTTACTTATACACAACACCATTAATGGATTTTATAAACCTAATGGTGGGTAAAATAAATTACACTGTATATTACTTGTTCAAAAACAAGCAACATGAATGGCAGTGCTGACCTAGGAAAAGATAGAACATTACCAGGGTCCCAACCCTCACTGCCTTTTTCTCAATCATTTTTCACTCTCCCTTTGGCAAGAGGGAAAGGCATCGAGGGCTGGGTCCCTGGTAATGTCCTATCTTTTCCTAGGTGGCAATTATACAGGTGGATCATTGCTGGTAATTCATTGAGCTACACAATTTGCTACATACTTTTCTGTATGTAAATACTTCATGACTAAAAACTAAATAAAAGAAGAAAGTAAAGAGAGAGAGTGAATTTAATAATGACATTTGTTTTCTTTCTCCTTTTTTCATATATACAATCAGAACAAAAAAAATGTGTTTTCATAGTCAGATGTATTTTCATAGAATATTTCAAAGAGATAATTAGGTAAAAGACAAAACAATTATGTGCTGAATTTAAAAAAACATAATCTCACCTTGCTAAAAAAGTATTACAAAAATTAGGCTTATGCTTTATGACACTTCAGGGTGTACAAAGTTCTGACTCTGAAGTTGGGTATTTGGATTCCCATAACCCCTGATAAGTTTGAAGTACTCTGGTAAAGCATGAAAAATTTTTATTTTCCAAATGACCTCTCTGTTTTAAGAAAAATCTTCTTGACTAGTTTTTCATTTTGATGTGATTGTTTTACCACATTAAAAACTACATTAACCTTGCTACTGTATATATTTGCTTACTTATAAAAGTTGTTAAAAATAAGCAATGTCTTCTGGCAAGATGGGGAAATCTGATAAATCCATCTGAGCCAGGCAAAAATTTGTTATTCTAAGTCTTATTCTGTGTGAGTATATATGCATCTTTGTGTTTCCATGAAATATGAAAAAGTAATTGCTAAAGAATCTCCAATTTGGTTGGTTGTTTGGTAAATCCACTTCTTACAGGTTTAAAGACTCATAACATTTTTATTTCCTAATCTGGAATGGTGGGATTCTTTTACAAACTATGATTAGAAAAATGGGAGAAAACTCATCAATACCTTTTTTAAAATTAAACATTCCGTTTTCAAGAGTTGGATCTTTATTAGAAACAGGTTATGAACAAAATGGCTAAAAACTCATAGAAAATAGAAAATTTTCATTACTCAAGCTGACTAAATAATTCATGTAAGCTAATCAATTAAAACATAAGTAAATATTAGAATGTTTTACACTTACAGAATCACAACTTAGAAAAACAAAGAAGGATATTTTTGTTGAATTTGTGTGGAAGTCATTGCCAGCAAAATCATATTCTACATTTATGGATTGGAGGAGAGAATGTATATATCATCTCTGAAATGCTTCATTTATGTCAATCACTTTTATCTAAGTATTTCTTAAAGTTCATTGGTGTGCAAATTGAGAGACACTGTGACCAGATTTG